GATACAGATAAAGGGCTCTAAGTGGAACTTGAAGAACGTGAGACACGTGCCGAAGCTGAAGAGGAATCTTGTTTCGGTGGGACAGCTTGGAGCAGAAGGCTACGTTTCGACATTCACCGGGGATTCGTGGAGGATCTCCAACGGTACGATGGTTGTTGCCAGAGGCAACAAAACGGGAACTCTCTACCTCACTTCACATGCGAGTGACACCCTCGCAATTGCAGCTGGCAAGGAGAGTACAGATCTGTGGCACAATAGGCTGGGGCACATGAGCGAGAAAGGGATGAAAATTCTACATTCACAAGGAAAGCTAACCGGGATCGACACCGTGGAAGTCGGGGTTTGTACTTTATACAATCAAATGCTTTTTTTTTTGCCAAAGATAAACTTAGGAATATAATACCCCCCACATTATTCTCTCTCTCCACATGCTGCCCAATCCCATCTCTTGGACAAGACCAAGACCTACACAACAATTTGTAGAATCTTTAGACTAGCTTTTGTTTCAAGGTACACAAAAGATAGGTATTCCTTTCTAGATGTGCTTCAATTAATGATGAATACATGTGAGGATCTCTTGGTTATTGATAATGAAGTTGCATATGTTCACAGTGCATTTCATTCTACTTGTGCTTACTCATCTTTTTATCTTGATGTACGCAGGAAAACATCTGAAGATCCATGTTTGTCGCTCTTTAGGGGATTTATCTGTTGTGAAGATTTAGAACTTAATCGTCCCAATAGAGACATTTTGACCTTTTGATTAAGTAGTAGCTCTTTGTTTTAATCATGGAGGATTTGTGATATGTGCTTAATTTGGTAAGTTTGTGTGTAAAACTTGTGAAGAATTATCTCAATCCTATTGCTATAATATTGTTCTTCGTTGTAATGAATTGTTCATTATATTAAGGCTAAAGTTTGGTTAGTTTGTGTGTAAAACTTGGACTATTGTTTCTTTGTATGTGATGGACTGATGTGTGATATCTGGGTGATTTGTTTTGATCAGTAAAAAATGAAAACCGTCCCCTTTGGTATAAAAATCATCCTCATAGATCACAAACAAAACCGTTCCCATAGACAATATAACTGTCCTCTTAGGTCAAGCTCGAAACCGTCCCCCTTGGTATAAAAACCGTCCCCATAGAAACCGTTCCCCTTGCTATCAAATTGTTCCCATTGCTTAGAACCTAAAAACCGTTCCCCTTGCTATCAAACCGTTCCCGTTGCTTAGAACCTAAAAACCGTTCCCCTTGATATACAACCGTTCCACTTGCTCTAAACTAAGAACCGACCCCTTAGCACAACCGTTCCCTTATGGTACTGTTGGGGACGGTTACAAATCGTTGCACTAGGAGCATAAACCGTCCCATTAGACCTACGGGCACGGCTGCAAACGAGACGGATGTAGAACCGTCCCCATAGGCCTAGTGTGATGGTTTCCGTGCCTAGGGTGACGGTTCACAACCGTCCCCATAGGCCTCAAATGTGGTAGTGATTATCTTTTATCTTTTTGTCATTAAGAACAAGACCCTGAAGTGGTGTTGAGAAGTTTCGCGGTTCGTCAACACCAACACTAGTAACCTAACATGCTACTTTTGTGAAGAGGATGATGAATTTGCTGATCATCTTTTCTTACACTGCTCTTATGCTACTACATGAAGGAACAAGCTCAATCCTTTCATCTTTATCTTAATGATGCCTATTTCAGTGGAAGAGTCAATGACCTATAGTGGTTCTTTTGTCCTTGATAAAAAGCTTCATATATTGTGGGATATCTTTTTTCCTATTTTCCATTAATGTGTTCGGAGAGCAAGGGAACAATTTGATCTCTAATGGAATCAAAACTGCGGAAGAGAGGGTGGTTTCTAATATAGCATACTTTGTACTCTTATGGAAAGGAAACTCAATCAAAAAGAAACCATCAAACCTAAAGAAGTTGATCAAGGAGAAGGGATTGCACCAACTTCTCTCTGGGATGAAGCAAAAGGTGAAGGAGGCAACTTTTAGATGATTAATCTTTTTCGATATCTTGAGTATTTTGCTTTTGTATTGTCTTTTATATGTGGAGTTAAACAATATCTGTAGCTGTGTTTTTAGTTGTTGCAACAAGCTGCGAGTGGAAGCTAATACTCCTGTATGTTGTTTTTCTTTTCTCTTTGATTATGCAAGTTATTCTAGTTATTCTCCTTACAAGCTGCAAGTTATTCTAATATTTCAAGCTAATACTCCTGTATGTTGTTTTTAGTTGTTGCAACAAGCTGCAAGTTATTCTCTCTTCTATCTTGGAGAGACTATGTTGCTTGAGTTCGTGAAAATCATTGCTTGAAATATCACCGATATGGCCTGATATATCTCTCTATATATCATTTTACAGGGCTTGCCACAACCGATATGGTCTCTAAATATCATTTACCATTTTTTTACCTATTTTGGGTGATATATCCCCAATATGGCTGATATGTTAGCCGATATGTGGACCGATAAATCTTTTTATATGGCTTGTCACAAAACAACATACTGTGTTTGATAATTTTTGAGTGAGATATCATGATTTCCTAATTATATCAAATAACATTTTGCACTAAAAAATCAGACCAAATGTCATAACATTGATTTGTACTGTGGTTTGCTTTACAAGGTTGATTAGTGATCATAAACATATATTATTCACATTTTGTATGCTTATATTTCATTACATATGTTGAGATTACATTTTAGTCTATTATACTATATATGCAAACATCCGTTATGGCATTCTGATATTTACCAAATATCCCCGATATTTACCAAATATCCCCGATATTTTCCCGATATCCGCAATTTGATATGAATTTTGGTCATCCGATGTTTCCCTGATATCTGATATTTAAAACCATAATTGAAAAGTAACGGCTAGGGTCCTCTTCTTTTTTGAATTTAAGTTTTCATTTTCCTTTCAGCTTGTGAGAATAACTGCATTATTTGAAGGGTATAGTTTCCTGAAGTTATTAATGAATCATTAGAATAGGGCACCTTGCCCTGTTTAGTATTAAAAAAAATTCATATCCGAGCTGTATCTTTATATCTTGACTGAATCCTTATATCTTGACCGAATGCACCCCTAGCATTCAGGATGTCAAATCAAGTCTATTATAAAGGTGACGCTGGAGACTTTGGATGCCAAATCAAGTCTATTATGAAGATGACAGCGGCGACTTCGACTTGTTTAAGTCTTCTAAGAGTGACATTTCCTTGCCTGTAACTAACCAAAGGCAGAACTTACTCTGGCATTGATTTCTCTTCCACTGATTCAAGAAGGTCTTTAGAAGACTTCATACAGTAACATAGGATTTTGGATTTTCTCTATGGACACAAACACATTCCAATCCAACACCTTTCTTTCACGTATTTGAACTCATTCTATTGACAAATTAAAACTGTACGAGAATAATCTTCTTACTTTCTATTTCTACTATATAGTAATTTTCTGTATATTCCCCTTAAATCAAGCGTATTTGCGAATTATCTTAAACTCTCAGTATTTGTAAAGCTATCTACAAATCATCAACTTAAGGAAAAATAACCCCAAAATAATAAATCATCCATTGATAGGTTAATTTGTAATTGTAGTATAAAAATATTAACAAAACAATCAAATTTTCATATTTGAATATTAGTCCCTTACATCTTTCATATTTTGAAATTAGTTCCTTAAATTGTTGAAATTATTATTAGATCTCTCAAATCTTAAGTTACTTTGAAATTAGTCCCTTCAATCATGGAAATTGCTATTAATTAGGTACCCCATTTCTTAGAGTTACAGGGACTTTGCTGTCATCAATAATCACATAAATGTGATATGGTTAAGAGTTATAGGGATGTTTTTCCTAATGGACATTAATTACTTTGGAACATTTTCAATTGGAGAATTTTTAAAAAACTGGCCATTTTTCTATAAAATATTAGCAAAATTGACTTTTTTAAAAAAATATTTAGCAAAAATGACCTCTTTTTTAGGATGTCAACTCTGATTGTCAAAACGAGGTCGATTTTGTAAAATATCGATTTTAAAATACGCGAGACTAGTAGTCCCGTATAATTAATTGCAAGGGACTACTAGTCCTCTGTATTTTATAGGTAATATCTTGCAAACTCGACCACTTTTTGGCTAGTCGTGATGATATGGACAAAAAGATGTAGATTTTGCCAATATTTTCACAAAAGAGTTAATTTTGGTAGTTATTAAAAAAAATTGTTTAAAAATTTACATTTTCAATTTCATACATTGACAAAGTGAGCTAGGTATAGCTATATGATGCAGATAGATATGTTAAATCCCTATAATTTTACAGTGTAACCATGAAACAGTATGAATTTGTTTTATGGTCTATTACTAGCTACAGCTATTCTTTGTATTCTTTACTAGCTTGCATGAACTTAGGATTTACTCAACTTGATAGGTGATGATGTAATACCCCATCCTTAATTTATTCTCTCATATCTACTTGTGGACATTGATATGATAGTGATTATAAGGTAAACCATGAGATTTAAGTGTAGTACCGATTAGTCGATTTTGACAATGGTTTAGCTAAACAACACGTGCTATACTGAGTGGATCCCACGACTTACATCGCGCGAACGGGCTCGCGAGTCCCGCATCGTGACAGATGATATCCACCAAATAACCTTCTAGAATTAGATAGGGATATTAGGTTCAAATATTTAGAAGGACATCATATTTTATTCCAAAAATTTCCAATGTCCATGGAGCATTATCGATTTAAACTTGCGCTTTTTTTTTAGATCGCTCCTACTTTTTAGTTGATCATTAACATCAAAGATTATTTGATGATGACCACTCACACTCAACTTTACTGCCATTAATCTTAAATAAATGTATTACCATCCCAATTTATGTTGTAAAGTCACTAAGCGCAGAGAGTATAAATTGGTTGTAACCAATTTAGCTCAATATTACTTGTTAGTAGTTACGAGTATATATAACAGAAACCCCTACTATATGCTAGGAAGTTTTGGACTCGGCTATTCAATCAAGCAAAACAACACCAAACAAAAACATGACCAATCTCTTACATCTTTTCCTCCTCCTCCTCCTCCGCTCCGGCTTCAGCTCGGGTGGCCCTCTCTACCATACCTGTGGCCTCAGTAACTACACTTCCAATAGCGACTACAAATCAAACCTCAATCAACTCCTCCGCATCCTCACCTCCACCAACTCCTCCTTCACCACCAACACAACTGGTTCGACCCCGAACACCGTCTACGGCCTCTTCCTCTGCCGAGGTGATGTCGGTCTCTCCAATTGCCGCGCCTGCATCCAAAACGCCACGAAAGACATCGGCTCCCTCTGCCCCAGCTCAAAAGAAGCCACAGTCTGGTATGACAACTGCGAGCTCCGATACTCTGATCTGCGCTTCTTCTCCTCACTCGACTACAGAGGCTCTTACTTTTTGGCCAACCCGAAGAACGTTACCAATAATGTTGAAGGTTTCATCAGGCTGCAGAAGGAGCTTCTGGATGATATTACAAGCTACACCGCCTACAACTCTCCTACTATGTTCGCCACTGGGACGGCGATGAACGAGACCAACAGCAACGCCAGCTTCACGCTGAGTGGACTGGCGCAGTGCACGAGGGACCTGTCGGCTGAAGATTGTGGTCAGTGTTTGATAGTGGCACGGGCCATGTACACTGGTTCTGAAGCAAGCACAGGGGGGAGGATTCTTACCAAGAGCTGTAATTTTAGGTATGAGATGTATGGGTTTTATCAAGGGAAGCCGGATGTTCTGCTTAATCTCACGACTCCAGTGAAAACGCGGACTCCGCCGCCTGCTCCGGACACTCATGAGGCTCCAGCTAGAGAAGGTATATATGACACGCTGCATCAACAAAACCCGACACAAGAAGATCATAATAAGTATGCACGCACATAAACAAATTTAAAAAGTTCACAAAATAAGATCTAGGGGCTTGAAAAATGAAAATTCGAATATCAATCTAGAGAAAATTCGAAACAATTAAATCCCATGTGTCATAGTTAGGTTTTGATATAATTTAAAAACTATCATCAGATTCCTTATATAAATCACGAATACAACCTTTGTTTGTGAAGAAAAATTCCTAAATTTCCATAAAATTTACTTACGTGATTATGATAATTAAACGTCAAGAGAAGACTGGGTACAATTATGATATAATTTCGTTAATTAAGCTTCTTATGTCAGTGTTTCGTTATTGATGTAGGAAGCAAGAATAACACCAAGAAGGTGCTAAGTATCATCATTTCAATTGTAGTCGCTGTGATGCTTCTAGTTACCATATGCATTTACTTCTGGAAGAAGAGAGCAACAAAACTCACTCTCGGCAAGCACAGAGCTAAGTCAGGTGCATTGTTGACCATTCTAAATTTGAACTTTGAAGCTTAAGCCATGATAGTTTCATTCATCGTGGGTTCACTTTAGAATTATATTCCTTTTCTAGGCAAGACAAACCTGGAGGATGACTTGTTACTACTAGATCTGTCTACTCTAAAAGTTGCAACAGATTATTTCTCAGAAGCAAATAAGCTCGGAGAAGGTGGATTTGGTTCAGTCTACAAGGTATTTACTCGTGTAACCTTGGAACTATGATGATTTATATCTTTTGTTTGAATTTTATGATCACTAAAAGCAAATTGAGGAACCTTGAGTAAAATTTATTACATTCTGCAGGGGAAACTTGCAGATGGACAAGAGATAGCTGTAAAGAGACTTTCCACAAGCTCAACACAAGGAGTAGAAGAGTTGAAAAATGAAATTTTATTGCTTGCTAAACTTCAGCACAGAAACCTCGTCAAGCTCCTTGGTGGTTGCCTAGAAGAACAAGAGAAGTTGCTTGTTTATGAATATGTGCCTAATAGGAGTCTGGACAACCTTTTGTTTGGTAATTCCTCTTTATGAACAATTTCATCTCACAAGGGAATTTCTCTTTGCATGGGTGATTTCGATTCTTAATCGTGCATAATATACATATATTTCATTTCTCATGACTAATATTTAGTGATTATGTACATTGTCTTGTTATCTTCCACCAGATTCCTATTGAAGTTAGACATATTAATTCAATTACATATGTATGTAACAGATCCTGTCGAATGCAAACTAAACTGGAGTGAAAGGTTTAATATCATAGGAGGAATTGCACGAGGGCTATTCTACCTACACGAAGAGTCTCACCTAAATGCTATACATCGAGACTTGAAAGCTAGTAACATCCTGTTGGATACAGATATGACTGCAAAAATTTCAGATTTTGGTTTGGCAAGGCTATTTGGTGGAGATGAGACGCAGGGCACCACAAGTAGAGTGGTGGGAACTTTGTAAGTTCAGTTGTTTTCATTGCATTACTTGGCAACTAATGCAACCAAAATTTTGGCCCCATACTCTGAAAATTATCCTTTCATATTTTGCAGTGGATACATGGCACCGGAGTATGCACTGCATGGGCATTTCTCCACCAAGGTTGATGTTTTCAGCTATGGAGTGCTTGTTTTAGAGATAATTACTGGAAAAATGTGTAGCAGATTTTATGACTCTGAGCGTGCCGAAGACTTTCTGAGCTATGTGAGTGTGCTCTTAATTCTTCTTGGCTAATTATATGCTTTTGTACAAGCAACTTATTTTCAATCCATGAAAAGGGAAAATTTTTAGAAAAAGTAATAATAATAATAACAGGAACAAAGTTTGATATTTTTGGTTCGTGATTTACTCACACACAGGATTGTAACTTATCTGGAAACTAGTTGATTTGCAATAATTTGACCGTTTCAGGTATGGGAGCATTGGAGCAATGGTCAAATATTACAGATTGTCGATCCATCTTTGGAAATTTTTTCCAAGAATGAGATACTAAGATGCATCCACATAGCATTATTGTGTGTTCAAGAAGTTCCAGATGAAAGACCTTCAATGTCATCAGCTGTTATCATGCTCCACAGTCCCTCAGTGCCCCTGAAATCTCCTACAAAACCTCGGTTCGCCAGAGGAATGATTAGCTCTAGTATGTTACCAAAGTCTACAGATATGGGTTCTAGTGATGAGTTTGCAAGGATGGTGTTACCAATTTCAGTAAATGATGTTTCCATTACAGAAATGCAACCACGGTAGATACAGACATATCTGAATAAGTTCTTCACATCTTGGACAGGACAGCTACATCTTAGATGATTTTGTGAATGACTTCTTTATGTAGTAATTCATCATGATCCTAATCACCGTTATCATTATCATCATCGACACATTACTTGTAATAGCATGGTCAACTATGGAATCTAAAAATAATTATAGAAGGCTATACGAAAAGAATAGAGCAATTTATATTAATTATCTTGTGTTATTTCCTGATGACTACTGCAGATAGATATCCCCGCGGAAAATAAGCTCTCTGTTTCTGGGACTTTAGTTTAGTTTATTATTCACCTTGTTTACTCACCAAGTGAAACCACAAGAGCAAGCTAGAGAGCTTTCTACTAAACGCATTTTGTTCATCTGTTATTTATTTTGAAAAGAAGTCAGAGAACTAGCTGACCTCAAAATTTCATAGATGCAACCCACATTGCAAAAAGGTATAAAAATAAAACACACATTAAATCTAATAAAAAAGTTAACATGACAAGCATATTCAAAGACTATTCATAATAATGATAAACCACGAGTCCTAAAGCAAAAAAAAGAATGTGACAAGATCTTACCAAATTGATGAAAATATGTCCAAGGAAGTGTACGTATTGCCAAAACTAAAACTAGGTCTGTTATGGTGTTCACCATCAGTCCCAGTTTAACTTAATTACCAAGCATACATATACGAGCTCTGCCCCAATCAACTTGACGGCCAGAGATTAATAGAGGTGAACACTCCCCCAACTCGACCGCTTGGCATCCCATCATGTCGACTTGAAGGGCGGACCTTGTCGTCTCCTTTTGTCAAAGACAGCTCGTTGCGAGTCAACTCGACCATCTGGCAGACGATCCGAAAGTTGTTGCCTCTCGGCAAAGGCAAAGGACACCCCCTGCCTCGGGCCCATCCCCTTTGGCTACGTGTCAACACCACACTCAGCATTGGACAAGTGCCACCAGGACCTTAGCCCCAGTAGCCTTCATGACTTGGCATATCGCGTAGGCTCTACCACGCCATTAATCCCTCCCTATTCGATGCTGAAGACAATTTCTCCAATACCGAAATGATCGTTCCCCCAGTCGCCAGGCGTCACCTTTAAAGTAGAGGATGACTCAGTTGTTAGTTGATAAGCACGTAAAATATGCATTATCTTAGTGTGTTTCAAGCATGATTTACGAGTGTTTAATGCATATTTCGTGTTTAGATCGAGGATACTGCTGTGGTTTGTACTCTTATATGTAGGTATTGGCTCAAGATTAAAAGATTTAATAATCGTTGGAAGTTGAACAAGAGTTTGAAGCAACAACAAGATTTGGAATGCATGGTTCGTGAAGAAAATAGATGCACGAGTATGAAGAACTAGAATTTCGACCATGAAGAAATTTGAATCCAAAAAAGTTCAAAAGATAAAAGTTGTAGATCTCTTCAACAGCTTTCTAATGTAATTTGAATCACCTCATTCCAAGGTCGGATGCAAAATTTATAATAAAAATACCAAAAACTAGACAAACAAGCATAAAATCAGCAAAACAGATTCCACCACACCCTGGTGTGGTGCGCACCACACCCATGGCGCGGACCTTATCTTTTTTCAGATTTTTCAGGGACATATAAATAGATTTTTTTGGTTTAGGATTTTGGATATCTTTTGTTATGTTCTCTTAGCCATCAATTAGCAACTAATTTAGAGTTCAAGTATTGAAGGAAGACACAAATTTCTTGTAGAAGATTGGATTGTAAGTTTTGATTTTGAAGATCTCAATTGAAAGATGGGTTAATTCTTTCCTCTCTGTAATTTATTTCTTCTTATGATTGATTTGCATAATTATTTGATGTATTCTCTTATCCCAATCATGTGTGAGTAGATTTCTTGTCTAGGATTGGGAAAGAACCCAACTTTTTGGTGATTGATGATAAATTAATATAGGTTCTTGGTGAAAATTTAAATCTTTTAACTTGATTTTCAGTGTTTTAATTTTGTTGATTCGCTTGATCACCGTATTAGCAATCATAGGTAATTAATTGAAGGACTGAAAGGTGAAGATTAATACCGGATTTCTAAAAATTAAGTAGGGAACTCGAACCACGAAAGTAGGCTAGATTCTTTGGGGATTTGATTTGGATTAGCATAAAGCTTAATGGGTTTAATTTAATCTTGATTCCACGAAAGTAGGTTAATTGAGATTAATTAGGCAAGATCTTTAGACCTTGAAAGAGGTTTTAGATTAATTTAGGCTAATTCACCCTTTCCAGTTTAAACCAACATCGGGAACTAAAATAATTCATCATTGAGCATCGAAGTTGTGGTGAAAACCCAATCCTGGCCCTTCATTATATTGAATTCCACCTGATTAGCTATTTATTTTATTTCTTTTAATTTCTTCTAATTTACACATTAGTTTAACTAGCCAATGTTTGTGTCAAAAGTTGCCTTTTCCATTGTTTTCAAAACCTGTTACACCGTTTATCGATTACAAGTTCAAACTGAAAGAAAAGTTGATCTTTTTATAAGATCTTCTTACAACGAAAAATGAAGATTATAACTTTATCAAACAAAACACAGCAGTAGTTTATCTCCCGCTGCTTTGCGTGGGATCTTTGCCTGTGCCGGGGACGCGTTAGTCCGTGGACCACCGCAGATCAACCCGATAGACAATATAATTACGCTCTTGTTTCACGAAGGAAACAATTACGGAAGCGACAATCACGACCAAGCGGGATTGTGGCTCTTCTCGAGATTAAAACCAAGTTTAATCCAGAGGAAAGAAGGGAAAAGAATCACAAACCTTTCGAAGGGGCTTTCTTTATGAAAGTGTTCGCCAAGCTCTGATGATTCTCCTCTGAAATTCGTGGTTAACTTGACAAGTTGACAGCACCTCGCCTTCTCAATCTCAGCTCCTCTTTAAAGAAGACCCTAGGCTTCTATTTATAGACCTTTGGAGATGTCCTTTTGAATAAGAATTTGTGTTTAAACGTCATCTGCAGTTTATAACTGTCTAAACACGTTCAGGGATAACCTCAAAACAGTTGGGGAGATCCTGGGACGAAAGAATCATTAAAAATCATCGAAATCCGTGTTTGGGGAGATTTTGTACTCAATAAGAGTCCTGCGTACCCATGCGAGCCACCATTTGGTGGCTCACATGGATGCGAGCCACCATTTGGTGGCTCGCATAGGTGCGAGCCACCAATTGGTGACTCGCTCCTACACGGGCCTCCAAGTGTTTCGTTCACTTTTTTTTGATACTTTGGCGATTTGTAATTCTTCCAGTTCTCTTGTTTTGCGTACACTTCGTCGCTTCGCTGACTTATGCATACTATTGATCCAATTCATACACTTATTGATGTTGGATAAATTCCCTTGACTTGGATAATAACGTTTATCGTCTTTTCCTTGTCTTGAACTGTGTTTAAGGACTTATAGGCAATTTTTAACCCCTACAGATACCCCCTCCAAAGTGTTTCAGTCTCGTTTCTTTTATAGATGAGCCTGAAATACTTTGGATGTGATAGGCCCTATCTGTAGAAGGACCTGTAATGGGCTTCATCTCTTGACTCCTTCAGCCTTCAATCTATTCAGCGTTCTGTCGAATAGATGAAGTTTTTTTTACGGTTCTGCGTTTATCGTCTGACCGCTGTCGAAGTTTTGAATTGAAACTAAGTGATGTCGTTTATTTGACGTTGAGCTGACTATCTTTGTTGGGAATTCCTATCTGATGACGTCTTGACAGACATTGGCCAAAAGTTATGCTTTTGAAGCAGAGAGAACCAATTTATACTCGTATACTCTTAGGAGTTTTGGGAATTAGTTTAGCCTCATATACTCATCGGAGGTCGCCGGGTTATCCTTAAGAATATCGTATATGGTATTCTCCAGGAACTTCCTGTCGAGGGTGGGAAACAGTTTAAACTCGTACACCCATTGGAGTATGAATACGGATACCGTATATGTTGGAAATGATCATCGAGGGACCAAAACACCCAAAATTTGGCCCAAACAGCTCGCTATACATGCGAGCCAGCGAATGGTGGCTCACATGTGTGCGAGCCAGCAAATGGTGTCTTGCATGTGTGCAAGCCAGCAAATGGAGGTTGAGGTGTTGCGAGTCAGCTAATGGTGACTCGGGTTTTGCGAGTGTGCGAGCCAGCCAATGGTGGCTGAGGTGTTGCGAGCCAGCTAATGGTGGCTCGGGTTTTGGTTTAATTTTGGGGGGTTTTTTTAAAACCGAACTGTTCTTCTTCTTTGTTCGTCATTTCAAATATTCTTCTTCGAGCCTTTTCTTCAAGAACTCATTTCAGAACCTCTAAATCCTCTTTACTCTTTTCTTCAAACCTCTTCAATCTTTCCTAAATCCTACTGAGTTCACGAATTGGGAACTAGGGTTTCGATTTTGATCTTGAGCATTTGTGGATTCTCGAGGTTTTCGTTCTTCTTGAGCCTTCTTCCAACTCGGGTAAGGGTTTTACCTCTTTATGGCTTCAGTTTTGATCTCCCAATTTTGGGAGTTTAGGGGTATAGTCGAAACCCTAATTTGTTCATTATTTGCTTTCGGCAGGAGTCTTCTAGGGATTTCTTGGATTCGAATCTTTTTGCTGCGATCCCCCTTTGGTTCCAGGTGAGCTTCCTTTCTTTTTGCCTCAATTTCGTTCAATCTTTTGGGATTTTTGTTCCTTTGAGGGAGGTATAGTTTGAGTTTGGGTTATTTGAGCTTTCAACTCCACATAAATTTTTAGTTTTGTGCATGGCCGAAATTAAAGCCTAATTTCAACCTGTTCTTGGTTTGTTTGATCCCTTTTGAGGCCAGAGTATTTAATTCTTGAATTTGGTTGTGGATGAAAACCCAAAAATGTAGGTTTCAAACTTGGATATTGACCGAATGCTTGATGTTGAACTGCGACTAATCCCAGACTTTAATCCGGAGTCATAATTTCACGTGTAGTCATGGTTGGAAGTTTTGTTCGGACTTTTAGCGTACACAATAGCCTGATTTGTAGGCACGCCGTGGTTTATTGTTGGCCACGTAGATGACTTTGGTTGAACTCCTGAAATTTAGGCTTAAATTGTTGCACGACTTGTTGTGGGCTGAAACTGAACCTGTCCCACGCCCGCTACTTAAGTCTGATTGGAGCACTATTTTTCTTTGCATTAATCTGATATTTCTCAATTTTCATCGTAACTGACCTGTTA